ACAGTTAATGCTACTTGATGCCCTTTAATGTACCTTCCATTAGTGATATTATTGTAGTATTACCCTGTAAATTAAAATGAGATCAAGACGGAGAGAGCGGCTCTTTAATTAAGGTACTGGCACACTGCACTTGTCTATTATTCACTAGAGAAAATCACCCTGATTTACTGAAGCAGGACATCCATAAGTCAGAGTTAGTTCATGAAGATTATTAGGTTTATTGAACAATGTAAGTACTGGAGAGCTGCTGAGATTGCCAACAGCCATGTTTCCTCTAGTCCTGCCATGATGTTAATAAATAGACAATGAGAGGAAGCAAATGGATGCTTAAAAAGCACATGGCAACAGATGACTATAATTTTCATAATAGGTTTGTCACCAAGAAAATAGGTATCAGCTATGTTGCATACCCAAAAGAACATAAATGCTACATTAATCTAGTGGCAAACAAAATACCACTGTTACACTAAGCAACACAAGATAAAATAAAACACAAAGGTGTGCATGCATGTGAACACAAAAACCAGTGGATCAGAATCCACAGAGAGCAAATTAAGATCTTTTAAACCTTCTTTGTTTCACATGTTAATAGTATAAGATTAAAATTCTATATCCTCTATCATTCTATGTATATTTATGTCCCATCTCCAGTCTCCTCCTATGCTCAAATAATCCACTCCAATCCCTACATTACTGCAGGACGGGACAAGTAACAAGCAGAAAAACTGCACCATCACTATCAGACAGGCATATAAAGGTATGTTGGAAAGTTGAATTAATTTCCAATAGCATAGGGAGGGGGTTGTGGGAGACATGAAACAAACACCCCACTTGTATTTCACAAACTTTGTATTTATGATATTCTTGAAATTGGACTTTAAAAACTATTTTTTAAGAGATCATAGATTAACAATCATCTGTTGTCGTTGTAATTAAGAGCCGAGTTGTAGACGACTCATAGCAACCCCATGAACAAAAGACCTGAACACTTTTATACCTTTCATCATTTTTCCACGTTCATAGAGTTTCTGGAGGCAACCTACTATGGACGTGGATGTCACTCCTGCTTCCAAAGCTGCAGATAATCTATAGTTGTTGTTTTGTGGGGTTTTTTTTTTAAAGACACAAACAAACTTAGGCTGCTCTTTCTACTGAAATTATCAGTTGTGAAATTGCATCTATGCTTCAAGCTCCTTCCTTGATCCAGTCAACAACTCAACATTTCCCTGTAGTGGTTCCATCATGAGCAGGTCTTCTTTATGTAACTTAAAAGCTGGAGACATGCCTGAGCCATCAGGTCTTGCTCCTTTGGTCCCTCCCTTGTGACTAAAAATACCCAGACCATCTGGTGCTTACCATAGTTCATGCCAGCATCAGTTTTGCCCTGAGGGATTTGGATGCAGTCTGGAGTTGACAGAGTGGGACCTTGTGGAAGGGACTCACCTCTATTGGACCTTTCTCCCCTGCCCAGCTGCTTCCCCAACAGCTTGCAAGTGACAGAAGAATAAGAAAAGACAGGGAAAGTAGGTCCAGAGAGGGGAGGAGAATGTTGCCAAAATCCTCAGAAGCTCTGAGATATGGTTGAGAGATACTACTGGATGAAGGCTCAGAGAAAAGTGGTCAATAGAGGGAGATTCTCCATTTAGTAGCTAGCATGCCTGATTCCGATGAAATCACAAAAAAACATCCCTTTCTCTTTTAAGTGTGCTATACACCTTTTTTTCATTATTCAGAGGAAACACAAATATAGAGTAATAAAAAGTTCCCTTTCCCTCCCCTTTCCTCCCCCAAAATATACCCAAATTCATTTCTTCTTTTTGTTTTTAATTTTATTATTTTTTGTGCACGTGCCATCAAATTGGAAATTGTTCCTCCTTCTCCAGCAGAGCATCTGGTGGATTCGAACTGCACACCTCTGGGATTGCAGTGCAGCTTCTTGCCACTAGGCCACCAGAGCTCCCTATATTTCTGATGAATGGACTTAAGCAACATGCCTCTGTAAGCTCTATGAACTTAGAGAAACAACAACAGTTCTAGAACAGGATCAAGTCTTTTGCTCCTAGGGTCACTATGAGTCATGCACAACTTGATGGCACTTCACAACAACAACAAAGAACAGAGCAGAAGTGCCTCACTGGATTTCCTGGACAGTATTTGTTCTGGAAACACTGACTCATTGTTCTCCCATGGAAAGAAGAGTTCGTGAGCTGAAGTCATTGACTTTTTGATTAGCGCTTAACCACTGTGCCCCTGGGGATGTTTAATAATAAAAATAATCCCCGGATATGTTTTATTCCTCATCTAAAAAGATTCACTAGATTGCCTTCTTTAAAAGTGGCAACTGAGTGTGGTTGGAGAAATTGGGCAAGGAGAGTTTTGGTTCCAAACAAGCAGTTATCAATTTACAAGACTAAAGAAACAATATAGATTGCGCTAGGATTCAAACGAAAATCTTAGCTTACTGATTCTGACCATTACTCTTATGAACTAAATGACTTACTTTCCTGTGGTATATCATTGCCAGTAGTATCAACATTAGTCATTTTATTTTTATGTTTAATATAGAAGAATATTTCTAACAACAGTCTCTTGAGAATACGATACTGGAAACTGATGATCTTCTGGCAAAATATTCCCAAGATGTTGATGTTACCTGGAATCACAGTGACTCATGTGATAGAGCAGAACTGCAGGGCATTCTAGGCTGTGGTCTTTACAAAAGCTGGATCACTAGCCCTTTCTTCCTGGCATGGCTGGGTGAGTTGAAACTGCTAACCTAATTAGCCATTTGAGTGCTAATCTAAGGACCTTTGTTCTTAGCTCTCTTGAACGTTTATTACTCTAAGCTGTAACCTCAGATTTAAGGTAACAGTTCAACATGTGCCCCTGCTGTCTTCTATCACCTGGAACTTACAAATTCAATATTATACCGGTTCACACTTTTACTCCAACTCTTTGTTTTTTCTTTAATGATATCTTCAAGCCACATCACACAAATCTTGGTAAACATTTTCATTTAAAGCCACCACAGCTAAAGATTCTAGGCTCTTTTACAGGTAACTGGAATCTATAAGAAGGCTGAGAGGAGATGACCACCAATTCCGATTACTTTTCTTCAACTAAGATTCTAAGCCCTTTGCTACTATATTGAGGTCATGCTCAACACCCAGCCTATGTGCCCACCCTGGCACTTGATTTACAGCAGAGACCTCTTCTTTCTCTCAGCATAGAGATACAAGAGCACTGTTGGCAAACACCAATTGAGACAAAATGTGAAAGGCCAGGGAACCAAAATTCCTCTTTCTGATGATGGAGCTGCCCAAAGGGAAGCTAGAAACCACTAACTTTAATAAATCTTGACTTACATGCTTAAGTTGTATGAATACTTAACTAAACTTTAATTTATTCATCACTCATATTCTTATCCTCATTTAATTTTAATTAAAATTCTCTTTGCCCTTTTTTTTGAGCAATCACTACTCTTCCTTCCCCTTCCCCCACATTCGTGTGTGCTTGCCTTTCATTTTCTCTATTCATTATCTCAGATCTCAACTCCTGTTGTTTTGTTATTCTGATAAACTACTACATTTGAAAATTTGGCTGCAGACTTACTTGTTGGTAATCTTGGTTCTCATTGTTCAAGTTATTCTTTAAATTTCTTAAAAATTATTACTTGGAAACGTGCTCAATTGTATTCCTAATTTATTATCAAAACCAAAGACAACACTTATTTTGACCACGAATGTGTACAGCTTTAGTATGTGGTATATCTGTAATTCACCTACAAAATGAAGAGAGTCTGACTCAGATGCATATTTTAAATAGTAGGGAGTTCTGGTGGCTTGCTGTTGTTGTTATGTGTTGTCAAGTTGCCTGTGATACATAGGGACCCTATGTACAACAGCTCTGAACCCCGCCCTGTCCTGACCCATTCCCACTGCCTCTGACACACCAACCACCACTGCCCCAGTCACTGTATCAATCCATCTCATCTGGGATCTCCCTCTCCTGTGTTGTCCCTCCACTTTTCCAAGCAAGATGTCCTTCTCCAAAGACTGGTCCCTCCTGATAAAATGCCCAAAATATGACTATTAGAGCTTTAAAATCCAAGTCTAGGGAGCATCTTGGTTTCACCCTCTCAAGGACTGCACTGCCAACACAAAGATCTGCAGTTGAATCCACCAACTTCTCTGTGGGCGAAGATGGACATTCTCCCAAAGCACTTTAATGCCTCTGAAAACCCACTGGAGTGTCAGCTATGGGTTGGTTCCAACTCAATAGCACCTAAAAAAAGCAATAAATTTTAAGGAACCTTGGCGGCATAGCATGCATTGTGCATGGTCATTTGAATCTACCAGCTACTCTATGGGTGAAAGATGGGTGAGTCTTCACCCATAAAGATATACAGTGTTAGAACCTGCTAAAGAAGCACTGTAAGTTGGAGGCAATTGGATGGAGTAGGCTAAGTTTGCTTTGGAAATATATTTGAAGATGGTAATATAAAAATCTTGAAAGATAGAGTTTTCTCTTCTTTGATTTATGCATTATTTCTTAGATACTTTCAGTTCTTCTTTAGAATATCTGTAGAAATATTTCTGAACATAAAAGAACATGTGCAAAAACTCTGTTAGGAAGATAGTAGACAGGTGAGTGACTTGAGAAAACTCCCAGAATCACTGGTTTTGAAATACTCTCCTACGGGTGAAAAAAAAAATTATAAATTTGCTTTTCACTCCCTTACAGAGTAACTAGGTCTATTGCCATTGCTTTTAGTGCTTAACATTTTATCTACTTCTGACCTAGAATGTTCCTTTGTCTCAATTAAGATGCTCGAGGGTATGTGCATGTGTATGTTTACTTAAATGCTAAGAAATTATGCCAAAAGGCACTAGAGAAAATATTTCATCAGAAATTTACACATATTGTTCTATAGCCTGGAACCAATACATTGATATTCTCCTTGGATACACTCCTTCCCTTTCCAGTCAGAATTCTCTTACCTTCCTTGTACCTTTATGTCTGAGATAGCATAAAAGTAGCGTGCCAAGTGTTGCTCATCTACAAATATTTCCCCGATGGCTGGTCTCAGAAGTCTTATCCTTAGGTCTGTGACTGTAAAGAAATCTCTGAGTTTCTTGGTTGTATCCAGTTGTCCATAGAGGGAAGCCATATTGCGTAGCCTAGGTCCCGCAAAAAATGCGAACCTGTCTTTGATTTCAAAGTTGATTATTTTGCTATTGGTCATATACCCCGTGGAGTACTCTTCTGTGCAAATAATTTCCAAGACGGTGTGCTGTGATAAGTCCTTCACGGACTTTGGATCCATGTGAAAAGCATCCAAGCAGTCTGTGGCATAATACTGATAGGGCTGCCATGTTCGTCCATAATCAAGAGATTTTTCCAGGATCATTTGGTCTGGGCGTCCAGATTCAAAGGTGATAATTATGTTGTCAGTGAGCTCAATGGTTTTGCTCCAAGACAGCGTGATGTTAACCCGAAGAGGCTTGGGGTACTCCTTCCAAGTAGCAGACTGCCAAAACGTGGATGGATGTCTTCCTTCAAAATCGAACATCAGCTCAGGGGGGTGCGCCAGCTCGGGGGTGCTCGCGTCACACTCATTATTGCACATGTAGGGGTTACCCTATGGGAAAGAACAAAAGAGAGGGATCAAAACACTGATTTGACACAAGTCTTGCCAGACTGCTTTTGTCAAAAAATGCTGGAGAAAAAGAATAGGGGCAGGGGGTGAGGGGTGGTGGACAAATAAAACTTACTTCTAGTAAATTTTTTTAATTTGCCCTAACTGGATTCATTCTTTATTAGCTCTTTAAAAAAGAAAAGCAATATGGCAATTTTCTTGTCTTACTTCCTTTCATAGACTTTAAGACATGAAAACAGCTTATTTATCCCATCTGTGCTAGACCCATAATGTGGTCACAGAAGCACAAAGCCACTGAGCACCTGTCTAGCAGCTCAATACCTCTGCTTCCTCTTAGGTGGTAAAGAAAAGCAGAGGAGATTCCTCTCTGCCTCAAGGACAGTTCTCAAGAGCACAGTTCTTTCAAAAGTCATTGTTCAAGCAAAACTTTAGAATTAGCAATGAACCATACATTCCTGTGTCTTGTTCAGGAAATACCCCCCCCCCCCATACAACAGTGAGTTTCCCCTCCTTTTGCCTCAAATCCATCATACTTAACTGGGTCTCTGCTTCATAAAGTCTGCTCTGAAAGCATTTACTTTGTTCACCACAAATCATTAAAAATGTGGTACACAACAGACTCTGGGGTTTGGTCCAAACATCTGCCAACCTATTAGCTAAAGACAAGAGGATTGCCCAGGAAAACTTGGTGGTAAGGTGGGGTGAGTAAATGGTCCAAGTTATCAAGACAGAAAAATCTACACTCAACTAGGAGGGTGTTGCAAAGAGCCATAACCACTTGATTGCTTCCTCTGTGCCTACTCTCCCATCCATCAAGGCTACCCTTTACCTTCCACTTAAGCAAAAAAAGCTAGAAATCCTATCTCCTTGCTATGCCACAAGAGTTGTAATGCCACTTAAGCTGCACTGAACAGTTTCTCTTTGCTTTTGCCAGGCGGGGCAAATGAGTTGTCTCTTGATTGTTTTGTTTATAAGAAAACAAGTGTTTTTATTTGGAGTTAATTTGGAGATCATGTATTTCACTAAATCATTAAGAAATGGGCAGGTGTAAGAATCAATCCTTTGGCTCTCTACTTTTCGGCCTGCTCCTGTGATTACGCTTAGATTTTCTTTTTTATATTCTTCCAGGAGCTGAGATTTTTTCATCATACCTGTAGGATGCGTGAGCTGGCTCTCAAGTAATGAATGTACCTTGGACGCTGACAGTTCCCAGCTGACTCCTGTGAAATGTGAGATGAACACAATGGAGTGTGGCTCTGACCTCTACTAGAGGTCTCTTTCTCTCACCTAGTCAGCTAATCCTCTCACTCTCCCCTTAATGCAACTGGATCCTGACGCTGGCAACAGGTTTGGGGGACTCAGATATAATTGAGATGGGGTAGGAGAAAGGAGAGAAGGTACATTATTTGAAAAACAGAACTGTTTTAAAAATACATTCAAGGCATCAGTGATAATGGAAATGTTTCTGTACGTTTTTCTCTCAAATTTCAATTCCATATTCCTGATCCCAGCGTCTGTGTCACTATTTATAATATCCCCTCCAAAACAAGCCAAGGAGGGGGGAAAGTAAGTTTCAGCTCCAGGTGGAACAGATCTCCCACTATATTATTAGTGAAACTCTCTTAAGCATTCCAGGAAGCCAAATGCAAAGCTCTGCAAACTGGTAAAGGCTTTTTATGGAGGGCTATAAATATTGTGGAATCTGTTGGGATTTATAAATTCCAAATATATGTAAATGTGCACTTTACAGGAAGGGGTCAGATTTACACAAATCACACCTTCATTTGAAATTTACAGAAAAAATATGGTCACTTCAGGATCTGTCAGCTTGCAGCCATCTGCACAATCATTAACTTAGATGCTACCACCTTCCTCCTGACAAAAGCCTCTTCATCTGGGATCAAAGACATCAAAACATAGGGAACAAAGTCTGCAGGATGCACCAAAGTGAGACAAGGGTATTAGGTGTTGCTGAAAACTAGGTGTTGTGTTTTGTTTTTTTTTTCACTTCCTATTGAGTTACACAGGTAAGGACTAGAACATATGATGAGGGAAACAGGACACCAACCTGTTGCTGGAAATAGGTCTATTATGGCTCCACAATTTGTCATAACTTTAGCCTCTACATCTCTGGGTGTATTCTTGAATAGGAATAGGAATTTTTGCCCTATTAGGTAAGCCACATAAATATGGGGTGTGCCTTAGAACTAACCATATCTGTCCTGTAGAAAGGGTACACTAGGCACAATGACACACACAAAAGGGGTATGGTGGACTCCGTGTGACAACCCTCTACAAAGAAAAGGAGCAAGGAATGCCCAGGGCTGTACTACTGACACCCTGATTTGGACTTTTGGCCTAAAGATCTGAGAGAACAAACTTCCTTTAGTTAAACCCTCGCTTTTAAATAACATAGGAAATTTGTTCTTACATAACCGTGCACTTAGAGCAAACCTGGGAAACTAAGACGTGGTCGCTGCTAATCAACTTCTGTCTTAGACAATGAGCCAGAAGAAATGAATCTAAAAGGTGGCCAGCTGTTCATACATCAATAAAGGGCTCTCTGGGTTTCAGAACTTTACAACAGCCCTATAAGGTAAGTATTGTCATCCTAAACTCACAGAAGAGGAATCTGAGGCATACAGATGTGTGAAGAAAGTTTCCCATGGTTACATAAAGCACATAAAGGAGAATGTACCTAGGATGCAACTCAGGCTTAGAAACAAAGCTGGCTAATAGAAGTGAAGGGTCTGAAAGATGTATGTGGAAAACATAGGATGTTCTTGTTTGGAGCGTCTCCTTGAGCACTGCCATACATCTAAAGCACCTTGAAGTTAAGAATGCAATGCTGCTTTGTTTCACATTATCTTTGTTTATTCACATGTATTTTACCACAGAGCCCCTTTTGGGTTTAACCAGTTGTTCCTCAATTTTCTTCTGACTCTTAGGGACCCTGCAGGAGTAGAACTAACTGGCTAGGCTTTAATCTTTTGCAGAAGTACAGTCAGAATGTTTCTTAAAAGCAATGATAGATTTTTGTCTCACATACTTTGGACAAGTTATCAAGAGGGTCTATTCTCTGGAGAAGGACATCAGGCTTGGAAAGGTGGAGGAACAGTAAAAGAGAGAAAGTCCCTCAGTGATATGGATTGACACAGTGACTGCAGAAATGGGCTCAAGTGTGTCGGAGATGATAAGGATGGCACAGAATAAGACAGGATTCAGATCTGTTCATAGGACCACTATGAGTCATTCTCAACCAAATCTGACAACAAGAAGAATCCCTGGTGGTTCAGGGCTTAAGGGCTTGGCTGCTAATCAAAAGCTTGGAAGTATAAACTCACCAGCTGCTGCTCCTTAGGAGAGAAAAAAAAATTTTTTAAAAATCTGGTGATCTGCTTCTGTGAAGGTCACAAACCAGGAAGCCATGGAGCACTTCTGCTCTGTCTGTAGAATCACTAGGAGTCAGATGTGACTAGGTGACAATGAGTTATGCACTGGAATCAACTTGGGGTATGCAACAAAAACTGCACACTGCACAACTCAAAGCTTGGGTCTGTTAGTGAAGATTTGCGTATAAATAACTCTTCACTTGTTTCACAGACACTGATTCACTGGAGTTCAGGATCGATGCATACTGCACATAAGAACCAAACTGTCGCCATTCTAAGTGAATGCCAAGACAAAGACATTGTCATTGATTTGCACAAATGGGTTATTTTATACCATGGAGGTGTGAGAGAAAACCTTCATACATTGAACTACTATTATTGCTGCTATTATATTTTCGGTACTTGATACTGAAGGTGGTGCAAATGGTCAACACTCTCGTTTGCTAACTGAAAGTTTAGAGATTTGAGGTCACATAAAGATGTCACATGAGAAAAGCCTGCTGCTCTACTTCAGAAAAACCAGTTCCTGGAAAACCTATGGTGCATAGTCATACATGAGGCCACTATGCCTCCACAGCAACCGACTGGCTGGTGCTGAAAAAATGAACTCCAAAGCTATTGCTATCAAGCAGATTCCTGACTTAAAGTTACTATATAGGACAGAATTGGATTGCCACTACCCATTGTTATTACTGTGTATTGTCAAATGAGTAGCAACCAATCGACAGCTGACCCTCTGGGAAGTTTTAAGAGGCAGTATATCACATGGGAGGAGATTGCCTACCTTTCTCCCACACAGCTGCTAGTAGATTTCAGATGTGTACCTTTGCTTTGGCAGTGCAATTCTGTAGCCTAGTGGCAAGAAGCTGCACTACAATCCCAAAGGCACACAGTTCAAGGCCACCAGATGCTTGCTCCAAGGGAGAAGAATTGGCAGTCTCCTCCTTTGTGATTAACAGCCTCTGAAAATCCACCTGAGAGTCAGCTATTGGTCAGTTCTGACTCTACGGTACAACAACAACAACAAGAAGCCATCAGAGCTCTCAGCAACTTCTTACAGTGTTTCTAAAGCTGCACTCTATAAGTAGCACACTTTCTTTCAAAGAGCAGCTGGTAGGCTTGAACTAGCAACCTTTTCATTAGCAGTCAACCACTTAACCAGTATATTACTAGGGCTCTTTGATGGGCATTTATCTACTTTTATACTATCTGGAAAAGATGAGGTTCATTGGTGTTGAGTTAATCTTTACTCATGACAACTCCATATAACAGAAAAGAGCTTCTCCATAGAATTGTCTTGGCTGTAATCTCCATGGAAGGAGATCTCAAGGTCTTTCTTCCACAATGCTATTGGAGGGATTTGAATTACTAGCCTAAAGAATAAGCACCAGGAGCAAACTGTACCTCCCAGGATTTGATCATACTGTAACTGAAATGCTATTAATATTACTATAGCTAAGTCATTTCTTTTAGCTTTAGAGATAGTGTAGTGAACAAATCCAAGTCTTTGCTTTCAGTGAAACTTCAATATTAGTTGGTGGAGATGCAATGAGCAAAAAAAAAATGCATGCTTTATTTTAATGCTACATC